GACCTTGAAAGAAAGTGTCCTCTCTGATAAGCATAGGGTTAGGAAGACGGCTCAGCTGACAAGAGTGAATACCAGTCTGGCAGAGAATGTGAGTTTGATTCCCAGCACCCAATTTAGGTGGCTCACAAACATGTTAACTCCAGCTTCAGGGATCCAAACCTCCCTTCTTCTTGGACAACCCCCCTCACCTGCACACACATACAAAGACAATTCTTTAAACAGGCATTGTCGTACACACCTTTAATCCCAGCACTCTGGAGGCAGAGGAAAGTGGATCTCTGAGGGTTCGAGGCCAACCTGGTCTACAGATCAAGTTCTAGGACAGCCAGGGCTACAATGAGACTCTGTCTGGAAAAAACAAAATCCTCCACAAGTTTTTGTATAGATTGAGTGCCATGCAGTATAGCAGCCACTGTGCTAGAAATCACTATGATTCAATGCCATTCCTGCTGAAGCTACTCCACTCTCAAGTGTATGAAATCTACGTTGCAGAGCATTGGCCTGTTTAACAGACTTATCTTTCTCAGGCTGTTGCCTCCAGTGGAACCAGCCAGTCACAGAAATATTTGGATGAGGCGGGCTCAGAAACCAAAGAATCTCTTCTATCCTTATCTTGCCGCCTGACTCTTTTTTTTTTTTTTGGAGGTGGGTTGCTGGTGCATGATGCTGGTCAGCTGAATCTCCGAAGTGACTAGTTCCATCACTCAATCCTGTCTCTCCTTTATTCTACTCTCCCTCCTGTGGAATTTGTTTTCTTGTTATGTTGCCGAGGGCTGCAGCCAGCCTCTCCCCGTGATTCTGGTTTTTTTCATCCTGTTTCCCTGTCCTTTTTGGACACAAATCTGCAAAATCTCATGGGTGTGAAAAGATCCCGAGTATTTATTGGATGGTTTATATGCAAACTTATGACTGGAATGATTTTGGAAATGTGTGTAAAAAAGAAATGTGTGGAATAATCCCTGCCTTTGGTGCCCTGTTCCTACAATCCTTTAAATGTTCAAATGCAGCTACATTCCTTTACCTACAACCGCGTTTTAAATTAGCTTTCAGGCCGATTTTTCCTCCCTAGTAAAGGGTTCGAATCCAGGGTCTTGCACATAACTGGGAAACCTTCTCTCACTGCATTCTATCTCCTAAAATCTTGTTGATTTTATATCTGTGTGTTTGAGACAGGGTCTCACTATGTAGCCCTGGCTAGCCTGGAACTCACAGATCCACCTGCTTCTGCCTCCCAAGTGCTGGAATTAAAGGAACAGGCATAAAGGATCAGCACCACCCTGCTCAACCAACAATTTTTCTGTTTTGTTTTGTTTTTTAGACAGGGTCTTATTTTATATAGTTCAGGGTAACCTTGAACTATGTAGCCAGAACTAGCCCCAAACTCATGACAACATCATTATCCTCCTGCCTCAGCCCCCTGAGTGCTGGAATTACAGACATGCACCCTCACACCAGGCTCCCAGCCTTCTTTTTGTCTTTTATGTTTGAGACAAGGTCTCATTATGTTGCCTAGGCAGGCTCTGAACTGCTCTTCTGCCTCAGTCTCCTTGTATCTGGGATTACAAGCCAGCTCTGGGGTGACTTTTAAATCCAGTGTAATTCCAATTATATCTAAGTGGCTGCTTTAATCTAATTGAGAAGAACCAAGCCTCATCAGTTTCTCTTTGTTGTTATTGTTTTGTTGAGACAAGGTCTCACTATATAGCTCTAGCTGTTCTGGAAACATGTAGCCCAGGCTGGCCTCGATCTCCCAAATATCTGCTTGTCTCTGCCTCCCAAGTGCTGGGATTATAGACATTGAGTCACCATGCCTGGCTTCTCAGTGCTTTTTTTTTTTTTTTTACAAAATTCAGAGGAAAGAAATGACCCATGAACTCCCATACCTTGACCAGTGACCCTCTAGGGTCAATGGACCTTATCTTGATGCTCACTGGTCGGCTCCTTTCATATGAAGCTTTTTGGGGTTTGGTTATTGTGAGAAGGGTCTCACATTTCCAGGAGTGACCTGGAACTAGATATGTAGCTAAGGAAGCCTCGGACTCCTTTCTGATCCTCCCAGTTCTGTCTCCTGAGCAATGGGGATTACAGGCTTGACACCACACCCAGTTTATCTTAATAGTATTTATTGGGTCTGGGGATGTTGAACAGGGATTCTCTGTGTAGCCTTGGCTGTCCTGGAACTCGATTTATAGAAATCCACCTGCCTCTGCCCTCAAATGCTGGAATTAAAGGTGTGTGCCACCACTGCCGCCGGGCTCTCAAAACTATTTATTAACAGACACCAACAAATCACAGACAGCAAGAGTGAAGACAGACAAACAGCCTGGAAGACAAGTGTCTTAGTTAGGGTTGCTATTGCTGTGATAAAACCCCACAACCAAAAGCAACTCAGGAGGAGAGGGCTTATTTAGTTCACACTTCCACATCACTGGTCATCGCTGAAGGAAGTCGGGACAGGAACTCAAACACTGTAGGAACCTGGAGGCAGGAGCTGATGCAGAGGCCATGGAGGGGTGCTGCTTACTGGCTTGTTCCCATGGCTTGCTTAGCCTCCTTTCTGATAGAAGCCAGGGCCTCAAGCCTAGGGGTGGTCCAACCCAAAAATGACCTGGGCCCTCTCCCACTAATCACTAACTAAGAAAATGTCCTCTAGGCTTGTCTACAGTCAAATCTTACAGAGACATTTTCTCAACTGGGCTCCCTCCTCTGATGACCATCATTTGGTGTCAAGTTGACATAAAAGTAGCCAGCACCATGCACAACAGTATGGTGCCAGGCCTGGCTTAGACTCAGGCATGGGTAGAGGTGTCAGGGACCTCTAGCCTCTAGTCTCTCCCTGCTTGGAGCTCATATTTCACAGGCTGGGTGGCATTCACACTTGAACTTTTTGTTTTGCTTTTCCCTTGCTTTATTATTGCTGTTGCTGTTATTGCTATTATCTGCTGCACCGCCCCCCCAACACACTGGGAACTGAACCCAGGACATTTTACTACTGAGCTAAACCCCCAGCACCTTTTTGGTTTTTGAGATAGGTGCTCCCTATGTATCCCATAAGTCCTGAACTTACTATGTGGCTCACATTGGCCTCGAATTCACAGCAATCTTCTCACCTGTACTCCCCAAGTACTGGGGTTACAGGTAATGTTGCCGCCATGCCCAGCACATTTTAACTTTTTCTTTTTTCTCTATCCGCCTTCCTCATCTACTTTTTTGTTTGTTTGTTTTAGAAAGTGTCTCTATATATACTCAGCCAGCCTGGAACTCGCTACATAGTCCAGGCTAGCTTTGAACTTAGAGATCTGCCTGCCTCTGCCTCCCATTGCTAGGATTTATGGTGTTTACCACCACATTGGCTATATTTTTGTTTTGTTTTGTTTTTCAAGACAGGGTTTCTCTACGTATGTAATAAATAGCTTTGTCTGTTCTGGAACTAACTTTGTAGACTAGACTGGCCTCAAACTCACAGAGATGGGCCTGCTTCTGCCTCCTAAGTGCTGGGATTAAAGGCATGCGCCAACTACCACGTCTAGCTTTTTTTTTTTTTAAGAGAGAGAGAGAGAGAAATCAAGTCTGTGTGTGTGTGTGTGTGTGTGTGTGTGTGTGTGTGTGTGTGTGTGTAAGTTTGTCATAGTCTGCATGTGGAGGGCAGAGGACAACTTTCAGGAGTGAGTTCTCTTCTTCCACCATGTTTATGAGTCCTGAGAATCTAACTCAGGTCATCCCACCAGGTAGAAAGTACCTTTAGCATGACATTCCAGAGTGTGCACACTAAATAAATGAATGAATGAATGAATGAATAGATAGACAAATAAATAAATAATCATGGTGTTGGGCTGGGGAAATGGCTCCCTGGGCAAAAATGCTCTCAATGCCACAGCATGCACACTCTCAAATAAATAAACGTAATAATTGCTTAACTTTAGATGATTATTATTAGCAGCTACCAGTCACACAGGTTTCACGCTGACATTTCATCTATGTATATAATGTAGTTTGATCACATTCACTCTCCATTACCCTCTCTTGGCCCCCTCCCATCCCCACAGGAAGCATGGTCAGCGTGCCATGCCGCTGGAGATAAGCAGCTGGTGCAGAACTCTAGGAAAGGAGCCATCCTCTGAGGAGGCTCAGTCAGGGTCCTGTTTGCAGGCTGTTCAGAGAGCCTCCCGGGAGAGAGCAACATGGATGGCTGAAAGTGAGGCTGGTAAGGCAAGGAGCCTCTTAAGACACTTTGTGGTCCACAAACCCTAAACTACTTACATAATCCGACCCTTTACAGTAAAAGTTGCCAACTCCCAAGCTTGACAGTAGATGAGTCAAATGAGATGGAATCTTAAAGCTGTGAGGTCACAGGCCATAACCCAGGGTCAAAGGAAGGAAGGAAGGAAGGAGGCCGAGGCTTGAGACAAGGAATACTGCATCTCAGTGGGAAACACACGTTTGGAAGAAGGAAACAGTTTGAGAACTTCCTGCTAAGAAATGCAAAAAGTGGCCCTAACAAGACTGAAAACCAAAATGATTAATTAGGAAAGAAGTTTTTTTTTCTCTCTCTAAATTTCTCTCATTCCACTGAACAGAGGACGGGAGAAGACTCACCATATGGGTCTTTGTAAGCTGGCTATCTGGGTTCGGCCAGGCCTGCGTGCTCCTTTGGTTTTTACTTAGGAACAAGCACAAAGACCCATCACCCAAATCCTAGTAGTCACCATGACATTCTGCTGTCATCCATGTTATTACGGAGAAGAAAACCTGGGGCTGGATTAGAGAGGTGATTGAAGAAAGACCGGCTGATGGCTTGTGTTTGGGTCTCCATCTACCTTCGCTCTGTGTTCACTTTCTTTTTTTTTTTTTTTTTTTTTTCGAGACAGGGTTTCTCTGTGTAGCTTTGCGCCTTTCCTGGGACTCACTTGGTAGCCCAGGCTGGCCTCGAACTCACAGAAATCCGCCTGGCTCTGCCTCCCGAGTGCTGGGATTAAAGGCGTGCGCCACCACCGCCCGGCCCGTGTTCACTTTCTATGCCACCCCTTAAAGGCGGCAGGAAGAATGCATAGAAACACCAAAAATCAATGTAGACCAGAGAGCTGTTGAAGACAGCCCAGGGCCAAAGTGTACAGGATCGCACAGAAAACGGGAAGTCTCATTTTCTAATGGGTAACAACAGTCCCTTTCAGACTGGACAAGTGGACGTCTCAAAAGTTAGGGGTAAAAACTGAAGCCCGAAGGTTATCACCATCATCCTTCATGAACTTTAGTGATGCAAACAGGATGTGGACCTTTAGCAAAGCGAGAAACACCTAGAGAAATCCCCCCCACCATTCCACCACCATTACATTACATTATTAGGCTGGGGTTTTGGTCTTTTTTGGTGGTTGTTTTGGTCGACAGTGTCTCACGTAGCACACGCTGGCTTTAACCTCCCTCTGTAACCAAACCTGGCCACAGGTTTCTGATTCTCCTGCCTTCACTTCCCAAGTGCTGGGATTACAGGTGGCTGCCACCCCTCCTGGTTTTATGTGGTTCTGGGGATTAAACGCATAGCCTCCGGTATTCTACCAGCTGAGCTACATCCCAGTCCCAGATGTATTTAAAGAATAACACGCTCGGATTTTCTAATGCCAATCTACAACATGCCAGATAATGTCCTGTGGCTGGTGATATGCTAAACATGTCTGTCTAAAGTCCTAAAATGGGACGAAGGGCTAAACGCATGCAGACAGCGCTCGCGTGCTTCCTTGGTAAGAGAAAAAAGGTAAAAGCCATAGAGTAATGCATTTACGGCCAGAGGTTAGGAGGGAGGCAGGCTTTTACTTATGATTTTTTTCGACCACGACGCACGCCTGCATCACTTGTAGCACGCAACACGAACCCGGATTTGCTTGGAACTGTGTCTGCATTTCCTGGCTGAGGTGCCCACTGAAGCCTTGTTCACCGCGGGCGGGGCTCTGCGCATGCTCACACACCTCTGCCCCTTCCCAGGCCCACCCCTTCCCGCTCTTCCTGGTGGTCTGCAGCCCACCCGATCTTTTACTTCTAAACTCTCCCTTCGCCTTTCCGGGTCCGTTTCTGTCCTTTTATCTCCCCCTCGGCCATTTCAACCCAGAATGTCTGAAGGTGGAGACCAAGGACAGAAGCAAAATTAAGCGCGATGCGCGTGAGTCAGGGAGCGGGGGAGGGAGGCAGGTCCAGGCACTCGAGGACCGCGGGGGCTGCAGGGCGCCGTGCCACCACGCACGTCCCTCCGCGGGGCGGGGCCGGCCAGCGCCCACCGGACGGGGCCGAGAAAGTGCCGTAGTCAGGAATCCGCGGCACCTCTGGGGAGTCTAAATAAGTTAAGCAGTCTGCCTTGAGGGCAGTGGCCAATCCCCACCTGCTCCTTGTCAGCTCCAGGCAGGGCCGTCTCCCAACCCGCCCCACCTACGGCTGCACAGCTCCGCAGCCCCAGACTCTCCGTCTTCGTGCGTGCGTCACAACGATCACGTCTCCACGCAGCCTGATTCTTTTTATTTTAGTCAGCTTTACAGATACAGTGTGTGCAACAGCATTCACCCATTTATGGTGTTCGGGTAGATGACTTATTTTTGATGCCTATAGTCCCCCGTCCCGGTCCTCATCCCAACCCCCAACGCATTAGCGTGCAGATTTGCTCCTCAGAACGTCGCTCTGCAGCCCGGTGCCCGCAGCAGGTACTCCGGCATTGTTTGGTTGCATTCGAGCGATGGTAGGCTTTTGTAACGGCCCCAGCAGGAGAAGATAATCCGGGAGAGATGCGCGACCCTCCCCTCGGCTATCAGCCTACTGAAACAATGGACCAAAGAATTAAACTTTCCTCAGGGATTCCCAAACCGTTGAGGGTAGAGGTGGGGTGCTGATGCCCTGGTGCGGAGGGTGAGGGGTGGCGCGCGGGGGTGGGAGGGGGTGGGGGGCGATGGGACCGGAGACTTGCCTTCCGGGAAAGATTTCACAGGGCTTTGACAACTTTATCACACCCATATTTCCTGGCTTTTGTTTCATCATTTCTATAAAACTTACACACCGTCACAGAAATGTCCCTGTCTTGGACAAGCCATACATAAATCCATTTTCCTTTAAAAATGTGCTTCCTAATTTCTTTTAAGATGTATGTTATGTATAAAGCAGCTGGGCATGGTGATGCAAGCATTTAATCCCAGTACCCCGAAGACAGAAGCAGGAGGATCTCTGAGTTTGAGGCTAGCTTGGTCTATATAGTGAATTACAGGACAGCCAGAGTTACATATTGGGATTCTGTCTTAAAAAATTAGAACAAAAGAAGTAACAGGTTTAAGAATCTAAATGTCACCTCCTGTGACACTTTTTCACTGTCACTTTTAAATACTAAGTATTTCTTATGTCGCAAACACGGTTAACGCAAAAGGTAGGAAACCATTTGAAACAAGACAGGGCTATAAGCGTGTTCCTTCTGCACAGTCTGCTCCCCTCCCCCACACCGTTTTCAGACCCTAAGTGGGTCCACTGACTAATCCTTCCTGAGAGGTAATTGTTTTCTTTCTTCCTGAGGAAAGCTGCAGGGAAAAGAAACACTTGAAACTCAATTACTGACGAGGAGAAAGCCAGGTGCCAATGAAGAATTTCCCGAAGGCCTGGGAGGGGGCAGCTGAGGGTGGGAACCAAGGGTCCAGGCCTGGTTTTAAAAACCAGGGACTACAAGTCTGATGGTGTGGCTGTAAATAACAGCTGGAAGGCTCCCCTTTGGGCAGGATGGGCAGAATGGGAACTCCTGCAATAGACTCATAAAAGAGAATGTCAGCTCGGACCAATGAGCTTAGTGAAAGACGGGAAAGCGGGCTACTGAGAACAGTAGATCTGCCCTCTCCCAAAGGAGTGCTGTGTGTTGGAGCGGGTAGAGGTGGGGGGAGGGGTGGGGGTGGGGGGAAACCAGTCTAAGAGAAGGACACAATGATGACACCTAGGAAGGCCATGGAGGTGTATGCCTCCCGGCACCTGGGAAGCAGAGGGGCGGGGGGCCTGGACTGCACAAGAGTTATCAGGGCAGCCGTAGTTATACAGTGAGACAGAAGGACAGACAGACAGAAGAAAAACAACCCACTAGATTTGTTGCAATTTGGATGCCAACCTGGCCTCTTCCTGAAGCTGTGATGAAGGGTTTCCAGTTCCTCTTTCTGCCCATTGCTCAAGAGCCAGAGCTAGCTCATCACCCCTAGAAGGAGGGACATCTAGAGCTGCTCCTTTCAGTGGCTCTCAGCCTTCCTAACGCTGCGACCTCTTAATACAGTTCCTCATGTTGCGGTGGCCCGCAACCATGAAATGATTTTGTTGCTACTTCATGACTGTAATTTTGCTACTGTTATCAATCATAATGTAAATATCTGATATGCAGGATATCTGACATGGGAGCCCCGCGGGGGCCTAGATTCAGTTTGAGAAGCGCTGCTGAGACGGTCGGTCACAGAAGTCTAGTAGTTGCTGGGGCTGTTGGAACTAAAACTTTCAGGACAAATACTTTGCTAGTAATGCTCCACTTTGAGGGTGAGTGCTTCCATTTTTACTGAAATACACATGCAATAATGCTGGTAAAAAATGCACTCATTTTAAGTATACAGCAGGATGGATGGATGATCTCTTCTCTAGTATTCACCTGTATAACCACTGCTAGTCAATATCTGGATTCCAGAACATTTCTACACCCCACAACCTCAGCCCCTGGTTCCTGTGCCAGTCCCAGACTGTAACCTCTCTTAGAGGAAAGCACTCAGGAGAAAGAGTGCTCCCGCCCCTCCTCTCTGTTTTTGTTCGTTTGTTTGTTTTAGATAGGGTCTTGTTTTGTAGCCCACATAGTCTGTAACTTCCTATGCTTACCCTCAAACTCAAAATCCTCCTGCCTCAGCATTCCAAGTGTTAGCGTGCTTCAGAGTGTTGATTAGAGGCATGCACCAAGGGGCCTGCGCTCATTGTGTTTATGTATACACACTATTATTAAGGGCTAGAATGTTTTTCATTGAATAGGCATCTTTAAATATTATATGCTATGCTTAATTCCTTGTTGTTCCTAGTATCCTACTCATGGATACACGTAAGTTTATCCATTCTCTCATTGATATACACATTATTATCATTGTTATTTATTCAGCAGGACTGGAAACTGATGCAGAGACGTGTATGCTGGGCAAACAGTTATGGAGCAATGTGCCTAGCCTTTGGGGTAGACTGTTGTTGGTTCTACTTCTGAACAACGTATATTTCTTGTCACCTGTCAAATAGATGAATGTTTTGCTCCTAGGAGTGGGATGGCTAAATTGCTGTTCTTTGTTAGTAAATAACCTCTCTGTCTGTCTCCCTCCCTTCTCTTTTTTTGCAGTGCTCAGGATTAAACCCAAGTGTCCCACATGTTAGGCAAGCAGTTTGTTACGGAGCTATATTCCCAGCCCAAATGATAAATTCTAAACAAAAATAAGCAAGCTACAGAGTGTATGTGTACAGGGTTTTGGTTTTATTCTTTTGAGACAGAGGCTCACTCTGTAGCCCAGACTGGCCTCGAACTCACAGCAATCTGTTGGCTTCTGCCTCTTGAGCGCTAGATTAAAGGCGTTGTTGCGCCAGGTGTGCGCCACACACCCAGGTCATGTTGTTGTTTTCTAATTTATCTGTATGTGCCTGTGTGAGTTATGTGCACCATGTGCATGCAGCTGCCTGAGGAGGCCAGAAGAAGGTGTCAGAAAGTACAGGGAACGGAGTCCAGATCCCCCCACCCCACACCCCACCCCACCGGAAGTAAATGCTCTTTCCCACTGAGTCTTCTCTGCAGCTTCTCCCCTCCATTAGCTGTGTTGTGGTTTTGTTGGTTTGGTTTGGTTTTTTGAGACAGGGTTTCTCTGTGTAACAATGCTGGCCGTCCTGGAACTCGCTTTGTAGACCAGGCTGCAACAAACTGTTTTAAATACATGGACATTATTGCAGTTGTCTCCGAACACTGGCTGTATGTGGAGTAGGTGGCATTTTTCTGCATTCCTACAAAGGTGCAGAAACAAAGCCAGAGGATTGTCAGTGCCCATTTGAAAGTCAAAAGATTAATACATTGTGAATTGAGACTAGAACCCATCTCCTGCTTCTCTCAAATGCATGTTCTGTTCTTTCTGTCTCACTGGCCTTGTGTCAATGGCCAGGTCACTCAGCCACCTGCTTTGCCCAGGACTGTGCCGTTTTAACACTGACAGGCGCTGGGCAGAACTACATGGTTGGTCACTTTATACACAGGGCAGTGGCCAAAGGGGCGCAAGGCTTGGATATAAAAACCCAAAGCAAGGTTGGGGTGGTAATGCATGTCTGTACTCCAGCGCTGTCTCTGCAGGCCGAGGACAGTGGGTTTGAGCCTGGTTACACTGTTAGACCTCCCCTCAAAACCAAAACAAAATGAAAACCTAACCAATTGGGCTCATTCCTACTCTTTCATTCCCCAAGGAAAAGATACTGAAAGTCAGGAAGTTGCACCACCCACACACTAATGCCTTGCGTACCCAGAGCACTCAGCGCTACAGATCCATCATCATCCAGCCTACTGCTCACTCAGACCATGCTCCAGGGACCAGCCTCTCTCGGGAGCACATTAGAAACGCAAACTCAAGCTGCTCATTCCCCAGACTTAAGGAAATTCAGTAGAATTCTGGATTAGTGGCTCACCAGGTTGTGGGGGAAGGCAGTGGGAAATAGGTCAAGTCTGAGGGACAGGTGACTTAGCCATTTTCCCTTTACAGATGTGCAGTCCTCATGCGGCTTCACAGAGAAGCCCTGTCTCGAAAAACCAAACCAACCAAACCAAAAAGATTTCTAGGGAGAATGACTGTGACGTCAGACAAGTGCTGCCCCTACATGAAGTAAATCTTACTCTTGGGGGAAAAAAAAGCTTATTAAAAATCTCTTTCTGGATTTATTTATTCTGGAAATATTTCCTGGTTGGTAGACATGCTTTTGCTTCTCTTTCTGTTGTGACTGTGATCAAATCCAATTTCTATTTTGTTTTTTCCCTTTCTAATGCCATCTCGAATATGCTTCATGTACTACTTAAATTTTATGGTGCTTAAGCCCAGCAGTGGTGGTGGTGGTGGTGTGCACATCTTTCATTCCGGCACTTGGGAGGCTGAGGCAGGTGGATCTCTG